CAACGCCTACATCGTGAGATTCCGCAAGGGAATCCACGACGAAATTGAACAAAAACGGGGAAATCGGACAACCCTGACGAACGCCACTTGTAGTTGAAAAGCTATCCGATAGGACACCATAGACCCTGACGCGGCCTGTAGTGTTCGAGTATAGAGCACGAAGGATGTTCACATATTTCGTGGGAACAGCTTTTCGCGCAAGTATTTCGAACAGAATCGATCGATCGACTGAATCGAACGCACTCTTGAAATCGAGGAACACAGCTATTGTCGGCCTGCGGTATGCGTGGCGCTGCTCTAGCACCTGCCGCAAAGTAAATATATGGTCTATACAACCACGTCCTGGGCGAAAACCGGCCTGCTCTTCCCTAATCCGAGATTCCCGTTCTGTAGTGAGGCGACGAACGATAATCGAGGCCAGTAATTTTGTCACAACTGGCATTAGGCTAATACCCCTGTGGTTCGCAGTCTGTGCGACTGACCTTCTTGTATATTGCCACAATAATCGATTCCCTCCAATTAGCCAGCACACTCTCTTCGTTCCAGGTACGTTCGAATAGGGAGGTCAGTGCTTTGCAGAGGACCTCACCTCCAGCCTTAAATAGTGCAGGTGGGAGGGAATCCGGGCCAGCGGCACGAAAACGATTGAGGGCGGTGATCGCGTTTCGGACCTCGGCCTCCGACGGTGGCTCTAAACTAACCGTCCATGGCTCGTCCTGCATCACCTGAGTAGGAAGAGGTCCGGGAGCAGGGGACCAGCTGAACTGATCTTCAAAGTGTTCAGCCCAACGAGCCATACGGCGCTCCTTATTGTGTATCAGCGCACCCGCGCTGTCTCTGATTGTCTCACTGACGCCTGGTTTTCTGGGACCAGTGGTGCGGATTAGCTGGAAGAGCTTGCGGTAATTGCCTACTGCTCCTGCCTCCTCCATTTCTTGAGCCCGACTGGTCAACCAGGCTTCCTTGTCAGCACATAGGCTTTGCTTTAGTTCACGCCTAATAGTCCGTCTGGTCACACTGTGTTCAGAACCAGCCGAGAGGTGTCTTCTAGCTTCCAACAGGTTCACGGACCTCTCAGGTATCCAGTGACTGGTGCGGTGACGACTGATAGTGTCACAAGCAGATGCTCTCGCGTCATGCATGGCGGCAGAGATCCTATTCCACTGAAGTTCACTGTCATTAGGACAAGACAGCGAGAGTTCGCTATGCAGTGCTTCTTGATAGGCTTGCCTGACCGAGGGCTGGGACAATTTCTCCGTTGCCAATCTGGGGAGACGCTTTGTGCGCCTTCCGGTAAAGTTCATGGAGAAACGACAGCGCACCAAGGCATGATCAGAGTCGACACAGGTACTCCAGTACGAGCGGCAATCCAGAATGGAACCGCGCCACCTGTAACTTATGGCTATGTGGTCAATTTGGGTCCATCGCTGGCCAGCTACAGGTGGACGCCAAGTGGCACTTCGGCGCCCACTGTGTCTAAAAGCAGTGCTAGTAAGAAACAACTGGTGCTCCGCACACAGTTGCAGCAGACGCTCGCCGTTGTCAGTCCGTTCGGAATTAAGTCCACAATTACCACCCAGCTGAGCTTCTGAAGAGCTCAGACGCCCTACTTGTGCGTTCATATCCCCTGCAAGTACTATAATATCTGAACTAGTAGTACTGCGTAGTAGCGCGTTCAGTTCGTGATAGAAAGTGTCCTTGACTGCATTAGAACTGCAGTCGGTAGGAGCATAAACGGAAATCACAAACAAACAGCGTTTTGTTTTACTTCGCGAATTCACCTTAGCTGATGTCGTCAAACGGGCTGCACATAAACGGCTGTTCACCGGAATCCAATCAACCAACGATGACTCAGCCTTGGAGCTGAGAATGATACCTACACCAGCTTGACCCGTGAGTGCCGCATCGGCGTCTCCGGATGCGTGCGACCAATAACGAGAGGATAAGCCGGGTGCAGTCAATTCAATAACCCCGTTAGGGTCATTAATCCTAGTTTCGGACACACAACACACATCAACACCCAGTGTGTCCAAGGTGCGTGCGAGTGCAGCCTGCTGACCTGTTTGTCTTAGAGTGCGGACGTTGAATGTCGCCATGGAAGCGAGACAGCGTGGCCTTATAAGGGACTTTTGCCGATAGGCGTCCGCTAGGTGCTGTGGGATGGTGGCTGCAGACAGTACTACTCCAGTATCACTTCGGTTGCTGTCAATTAAGCTGGGAATTATAGGAAGGTTAGTAATGGGGGCCGGGATGGGAGTAAGAGAAAATGGTGGAAAAGAAAGAAGGGAGGCGCCAGCAGTAGCATGTTTTCGCTTATCCGCCCTGCTGTATGCAGCAGATAAGGCGACCCTTGATAATCTGCGCGACGGCCGATGCAGGATGAAGTTTATGTTTGAAGGAAATGTCATGGTTGTATGTGGGCTGGGATACTGCCAGGGCGCCCAGACCTAGACAGGAGGACGATTAGGGTTCTCATCCAAAGCCTTTGGCTCAAAAGCCTGTCCGCAAGGCAGCGGGGTGGCAGTGATTTAGTTTTACAGAAGTGGACGCCATCCCATTTCAAACCCCCAACCTGGAGGACCAGGAGACTCAGTTTGTCTGACCTCTCACCATTGACCAACCTGGTATGAGTAGCTCTCAAGATGCTCGGAGGCATCACCCAGTATAGCTCAATGGGTCAATGAGGTACGCAAACCGTCGCACCACGTTAAGGTCCAGTCTCGTTGCGACGGGGGAGGGCTAAGAATTGGGGGATTGAAAATGGGGGGATATAAGTAAAGTTGGAGCGGGACGATAAGGATGAAGAAGCGCAAGAAGGGGTATAAGAAGACTGGAAGGCCTGAGCAGTAGCATCCATACCCCTATCCACCCTGCTCGATGCAGCAGATAGGGCACCGTTGATTATCCTCTGCGGCGGCCAGAGCATCAGGAAATGGTTTGAGGAAAGTTTCATTGTACTGCGTGGGCAGGATACTGTCAGGTTGCACAGGCCTAGACAGGAGAACGATTAGGGTTCTCAACCAAAGCCTTTGGTTCAAAAACCTTACCGCAAGGCAGCGGGTTTTGTCACTGGACTACGGAGCCCGTTTTATGAAGTGAGGAGCCACCCCCATTCTAACCCCCAACCTGGAGGACCAGGAGGCTGAGTTTGTCTGGCCTCTAACCATTGACCAATCTGGTATGAGTGGCTCTGAAGAGGCAAAAAAGCACCACCCAGCATAGCTCAATGGATCTCTGAGGCACGCAAACCATCGCACCACGGTAAGGTCCAGCCTCATTGCGATGGAGACTAGACAGTCGGTTTGAAGTGTCGCTGGAAGATCGTTGATGGATAGTGTAAAGCGCTCTGGTTGTGGATGGAAGAAAAAATGAGGTGGCTAAGCGATGACTTAGTCGAGAGGAATGAAGGCTCGGTTGGAGCGTCACGGCTCCCTGGTTGGAGTCCAAAAGATGAACACGTTTGGCTAGATACACTTGCTGACATGGCCAGGAGCCAACCTCAGTCGCGTTCCTGCTGTGAGTTTCATTGTCCCTCCCCATCCCTTTTAGCCTCCCCTTCCAATCACGATCTCAGTTCGTAGCATATAATTTTACATAATAATTTTCTTGCCTAGTAGCCGGCTGGTAGCTTACCGGAACGATGCCTATCCGTTGCTGGTAGCTCAGCTGGCATGCTACTGTTGCATTTATTATCCTTTTTTATGTATTGCGGCAGAGCAGCTGTGTTTTCCACCTCTAGCTAACATGTATAATGATGATGATGGTCCAAGGACGGAGCTTTGGGGAACCCCATCAGTCATAAGCACAGACAGAGTGTATGGTTCCCCTTCAGTTGAATGTTTCGTGCTTCCAGGGAGTCTGAAATCCAGGACAAGAGGTTTCCGGTGACACCAACTCCCTGAAGTTTGAGCAGGATCCGTTTATGTGGCACTTTGTCAAATGCCTTACTGAAGTCGATGAAGACAATATTAAGGTGTTTCCTCTCGTCTGTTGCTTCAACTCATGCTGCTCTGGCACCAAACAGTTTAGTGATGCAGGATCGTGCTCTGAGGAGAATGCGCATAAGCTTTCGCAGTGAGTGTTGAGAGCGCGCTTGATTATTCTCTCCATGATTTTGCAGACAACAGACGTCAGTCATATCGGCGGGTAGTTGGCAGGGTACTGCCGGTCACCTTTGTATTTAGGCATTACTATTCCTACTTTCCAAGCGCTAGGTAAGCGTCCCTCTGCAAGTGAGAGCTGTGTGTAATGCAACTCAAGCTAGCTGCTATCCCCCTATATGCACAGGCATCCTGCGGCTGTCAAACTCAGTGATGGGTAACTCTGGGAACGCATGCCTCCGACCACATATGATTTGTAGCAACTAACTTTTGAGAGAAATACTATCCCGTTACTTGTCAGGATAAACAAAACCATATCAAGTATACCGCCTGTCGTTAACCCAGATTTATTTATTTATTTTATGTGGGGTAGCTACCCTATTATCCGCGTAGGGGTGGGCGTCCTCGCGGTATACTCAGCCCGCGCGAGACTGGTGATGATTGCGCGGAAGCGAAGCGCTGCTACGGCGTACAGCTGACACATTCTTATTATTAGCTACCCTATTAGCACGGTCGGTCACTCCAGCGCCCGATGCCGGACACTCATTGAGTAGTCGTAAATAAATCATTTTACGTAGGTGCGCTAAAACATTAAATTAAAAAACAGGTAAAGTGGCTAAAAAAGGAGACAGAACGGTTTGCGTAGCAAGATTCTTGTCCGTGAATTACTAGCTCTATAATGCCAAGCGTGTGAATGTTCAAAGCTTTCCGTCAGTGGAGGAGCAAAATCTGGGAGGATACTGAGCGTTCGAACAAAAATCCGCTCAATTTTCTCGGCGAGCGCCGGATGAGTGAAATTTTCGCCACTGGGGCGCCCATCGGTCGCTCGTCGGTCACTCAACGGACAATCACTGTGCGTTCGTCAGACACTTGTGCCATAAGGGTACTGAATGCACTCACTTGCAACAGCGCGTAGGCCAACTGTGGGTTCTGTAGAAGCATGTTTCGGGCTTCGTTAGGGTTGTTCTGTATGCATAACTTCATTTGTTTCATTAATTCGTACATTTGTTCAGGAGGCAAACTGGCAACTGCGCGACTGATTGCTTCAGGTGCAGCCTGGGGGTCACAGGCTTCCCCATAAGGGCTTTCAAGAGGAGGTCCGACAGAAGGATTGCTAAGAGCCAGTTCCGCTGAATTTTGTTCACCAGCAGCGGGGCCTAAAGTGACGGTTACATGAAACTTGACTACCTATTCTTAAAGGTCGACCATTAAACTCAATATTCTGTAGATTCCGCAGAGCACTGGCAGCAACAGCAGGATTGTTGTACTCACAGAACCCATAACCTTTAGGCTTCCCCGACTCCCTGTCATACACTAACCGGAAGCCAACAACCGGCCCGGCCTGAGCAAATGATAACGTAGAGATAAGGTATCCTAACCTTGCCAAATAATTCAATCAGTTTCTCTTCAGTGGCTTCATACGGAATATTTCCAACGAATATTGATCTGGCCGTCTTTTCCGCAGCTTCTTTGGTCATATGGGGATAGCCCCCTTGAATGGCAGACATGCTCATATCAGACCGTTGAATGCTCCTACGATGAACGAACGGCGCTGGTTGCTTAGCTGTGGCACAGCCAACAGTGGTTAAGTTCAAGTACAACTGGGACCGGAACAATAGGGTATTCATATGAATGCTCCTTCTTTTGCGCATCTTTGCATCGGGAATAAAAAGGGCTGCTTAAGATGTTGAAAAGCCTAATACTGTGACCACATCACATACTGTCCAACCAATTATTGCTCACATTTTCCTGCTTTGCAGTCCCTGCCAGGTCTGTTCATGTGAAGTAAGAATGAGTGAAGTGTAGGTTGAGAAAACAAGCGGAGGAATGTCAGCTGCATAATGATGATACCAAGGTATGAGATGAGGTAAACGAAAACTAAGTGAAGTTGAATATACAAATCGGTTAGGATTAATATTCCGATTCCGATGGGCTGGAACGATAGGAAAATCCCCTGAATGTCCCATTTTGAGCGGCTCGTTCAGCCAGGCAATGAAAAGGTTCTAGGAGGTCTTGATGGATCTAAAACGAAACACTCGAACCACACCCTGGTTAACCAATTACTGCGCACCTTCCGTGCACTTGCAGCCCCGCTATGTAGGTCACTTGAAGTAATGAAGACGTAGAATGAAGATGGATGATAGAGAAGAAGGAATGCCATTTAAATGAAGGAACACCAAAGGGTGGGGAGAATGACAGAATATGAACTCTAAGTCAGAAGATGGATGTGGTCAGGAGAGTGAAGTTTTCGTGTTGCCACCCGAGAGCTTCTAACTGACGCTCGAAACCCTTAACCGTAGGCTCATTGAATCCGCTTTCTGGAAGCGAGGTCCATCACTGTTTAATTCTGCGCGATACCCGAGCTTTCGCCCTGATCCCTTTGGAAAGCGGCTTGTGTTGATTAATGAGATGAAGGCAATGACAAGGCGACCTAACCGAGCTAACTAGCTAACTAGCAGTTCGGTTTCACCTTTCGGTCCAACCTCCTCGAAACCGTCGTTAGTGCATTGAATACATATCCAAGCTAAGTAGACGCTCGGGGTACAATTGCCCCTGTAACCCCTCGACCAATCTGGGACCTGCTGTCAAAACCCCCTCAAGCTCCATTTTGTCCCGAAAAATGCAGAGCGGGCAAGTCTGGAAGCAGCATTCCAGATGGGATCGAAAGAAAGCTGAGAATAGCATCACAAGGATGTCGGCAGTTAAGAACCCCGAGAGAACGGCATATTAACCACAGCATTCTGAACCCCTACACGCAGCCTTCCTTCATTTGGCACCAGAATGCAAAAACTAGGCGCGGACGACGTCTAAGGGGTGTCTAAGGGGTGTTCGACTCAACCGAACACCTACATCGAAGTTGGGAAACTTGCTCCTTTACGTAGGGCGGCACACATCGCCTGATTTACGGGCGGTAGGCACAAAGTAAACTGTCCCAGGGTCTGTCCATGGCGTGCTTAATGGCCTCAAAACCCCAAAGACATCTACAACCCTCCACAGCCTAAGTTCATCCGCAAAACATAGCGGTGATACCCCGAGCTCCATAGGGAGGTCATTGACGAGGATGATAAACAACAACTGTCCAGGGACCAAGCCCAGCGAGACATCAGTATGCACCGCTTGCCTAAAGGATAAGCTGCGATCCACACGTACAAACGGCTCTTTTTCGTGCAAGAATACAGACACCCAGAAGAGCGCAGCCTGACACTTTGAAGAAGAGCAGCTTTTGTGATAGCCTCGAGTGAGTTACCTTATCTTAAGTTTTCGAGCAGTCGGCGTCAAGCACATCCACTACGTGGCCATTGTCCACTGCTACGGCTCAAGCTTCACGAGCGACCAACAAATACGCCAAACACGAAAAGCTTCCGGAATCCAGGTTGTGTACTACTGAGTCGATTAAATTCATTCAGGTGACCTTACAAGGAATCCTTCACCAACTTTCTTTATTTCCACACAACGCTTGTAAGATTGACTAGCCTATAATTGGCTCACAGATTCCCGTCGTCATTTATAAAGAAAGGATATAGGACAGGCTCCTTTCATTCAGAAGGTAATGTACAGCTGTCCAGTGACTGCTGGAACACCATCGTCGGCAGCTCACTTCCACCCCAAAATACTGCAGCAGCTATGGTTGAATGGATTCAGGCCCAGCTGCTGTGGAAGTGTTTATTGCTTGCAGCAGCCCCAGGACTTGCATTTACAGTACAGTACATTCAGCTATTAAGAAGCCCCCGGAACTCAAGGGACAAATTTAGCGCTAGTGAATCTAGCACCACGCACTAACCCACCTGCATACTGTCCACCATATACACGACCCTCGTCAGAGTCCGCATACGCATGAGCTCTGTCGACCAGCATCAAAGTTGGAATTATTGAATTTTAACCATAGCGCGTCGTAACATTAGCGAAGAACGGCTTCGTAGTTTCCTCCCTCTATCATCCAATAACTTTTCGTTCAATAACTGAGCCTTCCTCAATTATTGTTTAAATGTATTCCTAGTCTCGTAGTAGCTACCACAGCTGCTGGTTGTAGGAGCCGCACGGAAGGTCCTCCAGCACCTAGAATGCTTCTGGAGCGGGTAGTTGCCATAGGTATCAATCCACGGCAGCCGTGCTCGTGTCTCCTTTCTCCTGAATGTAAGGAGTAGACACTTCTTTGAGGTAAGACGTAACTTTATCCCGATCCGCCTGAAACGTATCGGCCACCAAAATTTCGCAGCACAGCCCAGCAACCTTGATGCGTACTACGTGATAGTCAACCCGCCTTATGTTTGGATATGGCCCAGCGAGGCAATAACACAACTGTATGGTAAATAGACTGGATGACTGGCACCTAAGGGAGAGTTGTAATTGATGTCACCTACGAATTCCAGTGACCTGGCAAAAGCTAAATCCCAAATACACGGTTCGTGGGTTTCCACGTACCTCGTGAGGAGGTCTTGAACTTATGCAACGGCACTTTCAGCGTAGGCCCAAGAAGGTCTGCAACTAATGTACCTTCCGTCGATGTGCAAGGATGATCTGTCCAGAAACCTTCCGAAGACTGAAGGCAACTAGTACCAAATGGCACTTGCGGACTGGGAACGATTATAGTTAAGCACCTCCTTGGACGCAGTTTTAAGACTTCCATGCACAAGTGCAACTAGAAGTTGAGCGGAGGAAGTGCTAAGCGCTGCCGACAGTGATTCACCAGTTTTTTATCTGCCGACTGAAACATGTAAATATATAACCCTTTAAGTGCAAAGCTCCCGTAAAGCGCAACGCCCCCTCCTTGTCGGCCAACAAAACAATCACATACAAATAGTGCGCAACAAACCATACCTACTTCACCGTTCGTGAGGTCCTGAGATAGCTACGTTTCAGTGAATGCATATCAGGCTAAGACCCAGCTACAAGCAGACCTGTCTCATAAACCTTATTCCTTAGGCTGCGCACATTGCTCAGCACCGGCCGAAGGTCTACTTAATGTCCAGCCCAGGGGCTTGCCCTACCGAGACTGGCACTATAAAGGCGGAAATGACCGGTGGCTGACTAGGCGAGAACCCACAGTCCGGAGACCTAGTTTACCGAACGCGCGCATGGTTTTGATGTCACTGGTGGCCTCTATTAGCCTCAGCCTATCCGCTAGTAGATGGTCTAGCTGAATGTCAGCATTAGTATACTTTAGTTGCAAAGCAGACGGCAAACGTGCGTTGCGTATCTCCGGGGTGTATAGCATAATAAGAGGTAAGCGCGGCCAAGGGTTCGTGAAATTTACTGGGACGTTGCTTAACCTAGCCAGTTTCCTGACAGTAACCCCTGCAAACGCAGGCAGAAGACGTTTCGTTACACACACTTAAATTACTGTAGGTCGTCTAACTAGGTTCGGCAGAACTTGCTGCAGTGGCTTGCACTGCGTGACGGAAAATGACACAGCAGTCCGTGAAAGAATCTTATCAACAGCGTGCATTAACCCCACGAGTTTCGAATTCACATGTACAAAGGCCAGCGTAGCCGCTGGCGATGTGGCTGGGCGCACCGTATCCGACAACGCTGTAGCAACTGGAGCGTGCGTCTAATGCTTCAGCTTGTCTGCCTTCAAAATCTTGAAGCTTTTCCAGCTGGCTCGAAGAGTACTTGCAGTTCTATTCCGAGTTTTCTTTCGTCTTAGAGGCAGAGAAGCTCGTGGCCCAAAGTAGACTTCCGCCTTCACGACCTGTACCCATGGAAGACAGGGTGAATTGATTGGAGTAATCAACTCCGAAGTTTGGTTTGCACGCGATGGAGATATCTGTTGACGTTTACCTCCTGCCGGCACAGCCTTAGATACAGCTGAGGGAATTTCCGCACCCGGTGGTGTTTCGGACGCAAGCGCTTGCATCTGGTACTCTTTCTCCTCTCCTGATTTGAGGCCGGAGAGGTTGCGCGTTTCCCTTGCCCTCTTTTGTTTATGCTACTTGCCCCGGATCCCGTGCCTTGCCTTCTATTTATTGAAGGTCAAATATGTCATTCGAGGCATCTGAATCAATTATCTCCAGGTAAACTGCCGACATGTAGGATCAAGCATCGGGTGGACTGTCCGCAGGTAGAAAACCCGCTGCAGCATCTCATGCACAATACTCAATGATTTTCTAATCAAAACTACTTTAGTGTAGTGCGAGGCAAGAGAGGCAAGCAATGCCTAGGCCTTCTCCCCAACCGTGCAACCGGCTGACAGTGCATTGAATTCAGCACAGGTAGCAGTCAAGCGCATCGCTTTCAGAGCACAGCATTTAGCATATCTAAAAAGAACGTTTTCGCTGGATGTAACCATTTTGTACTGGTTCGCTCGGAGACCAACAACGTTACCGATATCCAGGGAATAAATATCCGACTGCATACTACCAGTTGAATTCGTAACTGGCCTTGAACAGGTTGACTCGCCGTAAGCTGCACTTGACGCATCAAATGAGAACCCAGGCAGTTTATTTGTCTCGGTTATTACCGAGACGACTATGTTTAAAGTGCAAAGTTAAAAGTGCATAAGTTAAAAACACTTGTAGACAGTAAAACCACCACAATGAAAAGGTAAAAACGGCGTGTAAAACGGAATTTG